GGCAGCGGGCCCAGACGCGAAATTATTTCTCAGCGAGAATTCGGTCGAGTCGCTTCCCGGTAAGCGTCAAGAGCTCTACGATCTAGTCTCCGGACTTGTATCAGACAAGGTCCCGATCGACGGAATCGCTCTACAGATGCACGTTACCGAAGTAGCTCCGATCCCCGGGGTGATTACGGATATTATCAAATCTTACACTTCTCTTGGATTGGAGGTAGCCATCTCTGAGATGGATGTCCATACCCTGAACACCACCCTCGAAACTGATATCTACAACTCCGTCCTCACTGAGGCCCTCGACGCTGGAGTCACCGACATTACCTTCTGGGGATTCACCGATAAGCACGCCTACACCTGGATCAAGGGCGCAAAGCCATTGATGTTCGACGAGTACTACAACCCCAAGGGTGAATTCTACGCTACTCACACTGCCCTTACCAGCTTCGATAACAAAACAAGCCCCAACTGAGTTCGAATAGCTTTTCATTTCCGAAGCTCTGTTTGGAGGCCCCGTCTGCATTTGTGCGAGGAGGATTGATGCTATGGGGTGAGATTGTATTCACGGAAGGTTCAACACTCCGGATTCAGAACTCTCTCTAGCCAAGAGGCCTGTCGACAGCCTTAGATTGATTATTTTTCCAGCAGCTTTGTATTTGTACTACCTAAGAGATTATAATAGATTACCTTGAATTGTATTCAAAGGATACGTGCATACTTGCTTCCTCATACTGTAACGAGTTCTTTTCAGAAGCTATAACGGCTGCTGAGCTTAAATTAAAACATACTGATCGAAATACACCATCATCCCCGAACCCAGGAGACACGCCTTCATACCGGTGCTTGCGGTTTGCATACAATTACTTCGAAATTGAAGTAATAAATCGTTTAAGACACTTCTATTTGCATAATTTTGCCCAGTTTTCCATGCTAGCAACATCGTACTGCGCACTTGGTAGGCACAACCCACCTACAGCACGACCCCAGGCTTATTTCAATGAAATGGGCGTTGCAGGGTAATCATCCGGTTTCCAGCAAAGTTTAAGGATCCAACAGTGTAAAGCCGTTGTTCTCCATGTAGAAAAGGTCGGGCGGCAATTTCGCCTAGTCCATCGACAAAGTGGTTCTAACGGATATGCAGAGCTTAACCGGGTTCATCGAATCAGGGGGCTTGTTCGTTCCCGCATAGACTTCTGAGGTCCCCGTTCGTGTTCGTATAGCCGCAAGAGGTTCCACATGGCTCAAAAATAGCATGTAACTTAGAATGGGACGTAGTATGGTAGTATGATTATGAGCAACAATCCATTAACCCGTGTTAGGATGGCCGATCTTTGCACTTCAATATTCATCATGGTTGAATGTTGAGGCAACCATCTATGTAGGCTTGACCATGTGGTTCGCACTCAGGCTGTTATATTAAGCATTATTTTACACTTGCTCTGCTGTGTGTTTTAGGTAAATAATATATGTATTCTTTCATTATATTCTTTTCCTTTATTTTCTCTTGTTTTTATTATTCACTGTAAAATATATCTTAATAAACTATGTATCTGGTCTTCATACTATAGAATTATATCAAAACCATTATAACTACCGAATTACAAGGCGGGGAGAAGTGGGCTGCTTGCAATGATACTGTGGAGGATGAGGATATGGTTCTTTGGCACAGTAAGTTATACTCTTTCCCAGTGTATGTCATCTTCATTGACAATTTTCATGGCATCCGGTCTTACCCACAACCCTCGCATTGAGGATTTCCCGGTTATGCCGATGGAACGTTTCAACGTCATGCTTAAACACGATGGTTTCTTCACGAAGAATCCGGCACTCGACGTTCCGCAGTTCTGCCAGTCCTTCAACCGATCCACCCAGCATTCCAAGCCCTCTTGCTGCTCTGGGCCACAGGATCGGAGTCAGCCGTGGTTATAGAGTCGAAGACCATCCCATCTATACTAGTAAATTATGATGAGAACATTGAACGAGATAACACAGGAATGTCATTAATGAAAGGTCACGAGCACAAAGAGAGCTTCTTTCAATCTCGAAACGAACATTTCAAAATCAGCATAGTAGACATTACCCGCTTGCCCCCCCCCCCCAAAGCCGAATGCAAACCTTTGAAAAATGACGTTGTTGCTGTAAATACCGATATGCCTCCTTGGTCTGTCTAAAATCAAAGACCTGATCATCCAAAATGGGCTTGATGTCTTTCTCCTCAATAAACCGATTCATCTCGCGATACTGATCACGAGTGCCAAGCATTAATCCTCGAACTATATATGTACTGCCGCAGGTCGGCTATGAATTGATAAAAACCAGCAGATATGAATTGAAAGCATCATTGCGAGGAAGCAAGGTACAATCATTATTTTTTTCTTTTTTAAATGAGTCATAACACGGACTGCCTGCCACTGGTCATAAGAGGCTATCTGCGTCAAAGCTGCTGACATCACAATCCCCTCGTGGCGGCTACGAAGTAGCAGACTCATGATTTCGTCTACTTCGAAAATTAACTTTCGGCGCTCGCCAGATATATATATATATATTCTGGAAAGATGTGCAAATGCGGGTGAAATTATAGAACTCCAAAACCGATAATATGGACTGTCGTACACTGTGACGGAAAAAAAAAAAAAAAAAAATAACGGCAATCAAAGTCGAGCCACTGGCAAGGAAACAGAAACATCCACGAGTCAAGCCGGAGTACTATGAGGCTTAAGATACATTCTGGTGTGTGTGAGCCCGCGGCCGCTTTCGAGTATTGGTAGCTCAATTGGCTGGCATTTGTCTCGGTCAGAGCATGTGCAATTGCTGTGACGTTTCTGATCTAGTCATGTCTGCCAGGAAGTGAGAAATGCAGGTCAGGATTATCGGGGTTTATCTCGTATTGAAACAGCTTTAAATACTCCAATCATTTGAGAACTAATTCTTTCCTGATTAGTAGGTCCTTGAAACCGTGCATGCCTCGCTCAGAAAGGTAGATCAGGGAGTCAGTCCTGTGAATGAACTCTCTGTTTCAAGTCTTTTTATATATTTGACAGTTGGCTCTGACTAAGGACTGTACCATGAGACTGCAATTTCTGGATTATAGTTAGGAAAAAGGATTCCTTGGTAATTATTCAGTAGAGACCCCATCCTGAGTTGTAACAATTCTCATTTGCCACGCTTGTTAAATCATCTTGCAATGGCTGCTACCCAGCAAATTCTCTACGGATTCCCCTAACCAGCTCCGTCGAGGTGCCGTGTTCAGGTTTGCCACACACACACACAACGTGGTTGAATGATTTTGAGTTGGGGGATTTACCCCAAAGCTTTGTCTCCCGAACAATTTAAGCTCAAATATCGAGACATTAAAGATGTATATATCTAAAACAGGTGTCCCTCTATAAATAAGACTTGAATCTGACTTGAATGATGCAAGTGACCGGTCAGCTTCAGAGATCGCAACATGTTTTCACGCTGGTCATTCATTAATTACCTGCGACGCTAGTACATTTGTTTCTACTCTTACAAGACACTAAACTAGCTATCAGGTTAGGCACGGTAGTGGGAGATGGAAGAGGGAGACCGAGCGCTAGACCAGGTAGCCTCAGTGCCCTGAAGGACCAGATTCGTGTACGGAGTAGCGGATGTGCTCAGGGCTATCCGGTTAGAATCCTACTACTACCCGAGTCGATGGTGAGACGGGAAGAAAGAAAGAAAGAAAGAAAGGAATAAATTCTTAGCTCTGATTATCTATTCTATCCAGACACACATACTGATACTAGTTGGCCAACCTCTGCTTTAGTCGCTCATTATGAGCATCAGGAGTCTGTCTCCCATATGCAGAGTGTTGGGGGCCGTAAGATCTGCCAGTGGCAAGTATGGGTCGTCTAACGGCTGTGACACTTGAGACCACCATTTGATCTGGACAATGGTATTGTCGCCTTATTGTCATCCATTCCACCTAGATAAGGTTGCTTCAGGTTTCATCTTAGTTCTGGCGCCAAGTATCATTGCCTGTGCATTGCAGCTGCTCCTGAAGAAAAATTGGTAGAAGGATTCAACGATTCGCATGTTTTTGATCAGGAGCGAATTGTGTCAAAGAAGATCTTGGGGGCTGTACAGGCTATTGTGGTGTGTTTGTTGTTGCCTTCCGCGGTGGGTTCGGGGGCTAAAAAGTGGAGATCTAACAGTAACATACAAAGTACGGAGTAGTCCGGTTTATTCCCGGTGATTCTGGTTATTATAGTGGAGCTCGGCAGGGATTCCAATTCATTTTGATACTTGGTATAGCCCACCAATAGTGATTACTATCTACCTGGTTAGTACCTGGTCTTGAGACTAGTAACGATCACTTCATCAAATATGTCTCTAGTAACGAAGGCGTTTCAAGCAATTTTATGATAAGCTTATACTCAATCACCTCATAAATTTCTTATAAAATAGAAACCACCATCATCATCACGATCAAGATGCTTTTGAACTCGTTGATTTTGGGAAGGTAGATCCAGGGGAAGACATCAAATATAACATGTTCCTAGGCTTTAACGTCAACGCGTAGCTATAACTATCACGCAGGCAATATTGGATGAGAGACTCACTGCGATAAAGGATTGAAATCCCCGCGCAGCTCCACCATACTAACAAAACATCATCGGGGGTCAACCGGAGTACTACAATGCCCATATACAGACTAGTGCTATGTCAAGAGTTCGAACAAGGTCCCTCCCCCCACTTAGTCCCTTGAGCGTTTTATATTCCGGTGGCAGTGTCAGACTAATACATTATTTAGTAACTTTGTATACAAGCCCTAGTATTTTATGATGGTTCTCTACATGTAATGCAGTCGATTGTCCGTTCGAGCTAGGTGACTCGACTTCCCAAGGCTATGTAGATTGCGCATATATAGTGCAAGTACTTAAGGCGCTCGATATGCATTGAGCCTCGTTCCATGTCCTTCCACCCTTCCACACCTTCAAGTTTCCCATCTCACTTGAAACAGACAGCATTCCTCTAGCAAAATGCAACTTCCGGCAGGGCTCGAACATCAAGCAATCGGGTATACTCGGTCCGCGAGTTCTCCGAGCGAGGGATTTGCAATCATTGGTATTGGTAAGTGATTTGCTTAGTTAGTCCAATCTATGAATGTCTCAAAGGTCATATTCATATGGAACTTCCAATGTTCTAGGGTGTCGCCTGCCTGGTGGCATAGAGAGCCCATCCCAGCTGTGGGAGTTCCTCAAGCAAGAACGTTGTGCAGCTGGGCCGATACCAGCCTCACGCTTCAACAATGACGCCTATACCGGGGGCAAAGATGAGCCTGCCACCGCGGTGGGGCCAGGGGGATACCTCCTGACAGAAGACATTCGTCAATTTGACAACCAGTTCTTCGGTATCAATAATCGGGAAGCGGCCGATATGGACCCCCAGCAACGAAAACTCCTCGAGGTAGTCTTTGAGTGCTTTGAAAGTGCAGGATACTCGTGGGGTCAAGTTTCCGGGGCGCAAGTCGGATGTTACGGTATGTGAATATACTATAAACCATCTACACTGGATTTGAAGGGAAAAACAATCTGACGGCCAAAGTCGCCAATTTCTTGCAAGACTACGCTTCCCTGCAGACCAAGGATATAGAATGGCTCACTCGCTACTCCGGGGTGGGAATGGGAACATCGATTCTCGCCAATCGAATTAGCCATGTTTTCAATCTCAAGGGCCCCAGTTGTACCATTGATACTGCTTGTTCCGCCTCGATTTACGCATTACACCAGGCGGTCTCGGCCCTGAGAAATCGCGATTGTGACTCCGCTGTGGTCGCCGGTGTGAATCTCCTCCAATCCCCCGATGCTCACGTCTATGCATCACAGGCCGGGGTGATTTCACCTACTTCGGTGTGTCACACGTTTGATGCCTCTGCAGATGGTTAAGTCAATTCCTTTGGAATGTAGTTGACACTATTAAATAACACTCATCACAGCTATGGCCGTGCAGATGGAGTAAATGCTCTATACATCAAGCGCTTGGACGATGCGATCCGCGACGGGGATCCGATCCGAAGCATCATCCGCGGCACCGCTACCAATAGTAACGGCCGCACCCCTGGAATTACCCAACCAAGCATTGACGGCCAAATTTCCGTGGTGCGAAAGGCTTACGATCAAGCGGGCTTAAGTCCTTCCGACACAGCCTATGTAGAAATGCATGGGACTGGTACGGCTGTCGGTGATGCGATGATGAGTTGGCGACACCGAGGCAATGTTCAAAAATACGTGTCCATGCTGATCCATGAACAATTTCCTACCTATTTAGGAATCTCAATCAATTACTCGAGTGTTTTGTGAAGAGCAGCCTCGTGGCTCTCCACTGCTGGTGGGCGGCGTGAAGCCAAATCTCGGTCACGGAGAGGCTTCCAGTGGCTTGACGAGCATCATCAAAGCGACACTCGCCCTCGAACGGAGCGAGCTGCCTGCAACCATTGGGATAGTGAACCTGAATCCCAAGCTCCAGCTGGAGAAAAAGGGCATTCAGATCGTGCAGAAAGCAACTCCAATTCCCAAGCCAGTCTCGGGACTCGGTCGCCGCATCAGTGTCAATGCCTTTGGGTATGGCGGAGCCAATGCGCACGCAATCATTGAAGAAGCTGGCTCAGTTGGCAAGCTTGCTGCAAGCTGCTCGAGAGAGGACGACGATTCAAGGGCTGACCAGAGCCAACTAGACGGAACCCGGCCATAATTACTACCATTCTCCGCCAACGACAGCTACTCGTTGGAGAAACGAGTGGAGCAGTTGGCACAACTAAATCTCCCAGCCAGCGTCACCGCGGATCTCGCCTACACCTTGGGGGAGCGTCGCTCTCATCTGAAAGCGCGTGGGTTTGTGATTGCACGTCCCGAGACCCTCGGCCAAGATCTGATCGTCAGCAATCTTCGACGAGCCACTGCGACGGAGGAGCCCGCTTTGGCTGCCAGTCGCAAATTTGCATTCGTCTTCACCGGTCAAGGGGCTCAATGGCAAGGCATGGCGGAAGAGTTACTGCAGGTTCCGGTATTTGCCAACGCGATCTCCCAAATGGACGACGCGCTAGCAGGTCTCCCCCATCCACCATCCTGGAAAATCTCGACCATGTTGAAGGATAAGTCGGTCGATTCCTCCGTGAATCAAGCGGCGTATGCGCAGCCTATGACCACTGCGGTGCAGATTGCGCTCGTGGACCTTCTCCGGGTATTGCGCATTCCAACCGATGGTGTCATTGGCCATTCTTCTGGTGAGGTGGCGGCGGCCTACGCAGCCAATATGATCGATATGCGTGAAGCAATTATCCTCGCATACTATCGCGGACTTGCCGTAGCCCAATGCGCTCCGCTGGGAGCGATGGCGGCAGTGGGACTTACCTCTGAGAAAGCTGAAGAGTGGATTCAAAAGTGCGCGGGCAACAGCCAGGTGCGAGTGGCTTGTATCAATTCTCCGGATAATGTGACCATCAGCGGCGACGGTGATGGTGTAGATGCTCTCGTGTCCTCTCTGACCGCGACGGGGATCTTTGCACGAAAACTGAAAACCGGTGACAGAGCATATCATTCGCATCAAATGGAGGTGGTCGGTCCCACGTATGAGAGTCTACTTCAAGAGGCCAACATCTTCCCCGACGCTTCAGCGGAGGGAGATACGGTCGAGAAAGAAGCTTCATGCATGATGTCCACAGTCGTTCGCCGGACGGTTAGCAAGTCGGATGTTCGCACGACAACTTACTGGCGGCGAAACCTGGAATCTCCAGTACACTTTTCCGATGGTCTACTCAGTCTTGCTGACTCGCTGAAAGCCTTTTACCTGGTCGAGGTTGGCCCACATACGGCACTGAAGCTGCCCATCTTACAGACCTTGGGCAAATCCACTCGGTATCTCGGAACCCTCAAGCGTGGCCAGGACTCCCTGAGCTCCCTGCTGGAGCTTGTTGGCGATCTCTTCACGAGTGGCTTCCCCGTCGATTTCCCTCGTTTACAGACTCTTTATCCCCGTTCAGGTGGCCCACCCAAATTCCTCCACGACCTTCCCACGTATCCTTGGCACTACGAGAAGCTCCTCTGGAATGAGTCTCGTTTGGCCCGCGAGACTCGCGAGCGAAAGTTCCCACGGCATGAGCTGCTGGGGAGCCCCGTGCCTGGCGGCAGCCTGATCACACTCGGATGGCGGAACCGGTTGCATCTGGATCATGTCCCTTGGCTGAGAGACCACAAGCTGGGCAACGAGACCGTATTTCCCGGAGCCGCTTATGTGGGCATGGCTGTGGAAGCGGTCCTACAAGCTCGAGGCGTGGCAATGAGCCACGACTTGGCCGATTATTCTGTCAGCTTTCAGAATGTGGACCTGCCGAGTGCGCTGCCTATCGCCGAACAGGAGTTCATCGAGCTGTACACGGAGCTGGTACCCCGTGAGATCTCCAACCTGACCCGGTGTCAAGATTGGTACGATTTCCAGATCGTGTCTATTGCGGTTGATACGTCCATTATTCGCGCCCGTGGCTCTGTCAAATTAGAGATGGGATCAACCAGTCTCGAGCATTACAAGCTCCCCCAGACGGACTGTCGTCTGATATCCAAGAGCAAGCGGATGTGGTATGAAAGTATGCACAAATGTGGTCTGCGCTATGGCCCCACCTTTCAGCACATGCAGGAAATCCTGACGCCAGATACCAAGGGGGTTTTATATGCCCAGGCCACGGTGCACAGCATCCAGCCCCGATTCGAATCTGCCCAACCGTCGCCGCGATATCTGATTCATCCGGCCGTTCTGGATAATGTTTTACAAGCCACTTTAATCGCTTCGGCTGGCGGCCATTTGGAATCGGTGGCCGCTAAGGTACCAAAAAGCTTCGGTCGTTTAAGTCTCCGAGTCCCTTCATCTGCTGGGAGTACGGCGACGATTCGCGCTGTGTCCACCGTGACTGGGTTTGCCACCAACGACACCAAAGCCGCCCTATTGGACTCGAATCAGAATGCCTTGGCGTATTTTGAGGGGGTGAAGCTCATCAAATATTCCGGCAGTGATCAAATGGAGGAAGTTCGACATCCATTGTATCGGTTTGTGTGGAAGCCGGATGTTGACCACATTCCTAACGACGCCGCATTTGCCGCTGCCATCGAGCATGTTCGCTCCACAACCGACCTCGGGCGTCTTCCAGATTCGAGCAGAGACATCATGATGGTGCTGGATCTGACGGTGCATAAAGATCCCAACGCCGATATTCTCTTTCTCTCTTCAGATCTGTCCCTGGCAGCACTGGCTCTATCAGAGCTCCTCAAGGCACAGACCGTCCACCGCCGCTTCAATACATTCCATTTGGGTCGGTTGGGCCCAGACGGCCAGCTGGAAGTGGCTGCACTTCAGGACTATGCCTTGCCATTCGAGGACGCCTTTGCATCGTTTGTGACCGCGTCCCCGGATCAAACTTTTGGCCTGGTGATCTCGGACGAAAAGACATCCCGTCTCGAGCAGCTGGCTCTCCATACACACCCAGCGACACGGATTATCGATGCCAGTCACGGTCAGGAAGAGCGTTATCAAGGTGAAAGATTCGTCGTTGCCCACGCTTTATCGAACATACGGATCCTGCGTCCAGCACCCAAGGAGAACGACCGCGCTTCCCAGAAATTTGTCAATGTTCTTCTGATCACCCGCACATCATGCCACGAAGATGATGATCGTTTGCGGGATCATCTCGCTGCCGATCTGTCTTTACCGGTCGAGAAATGTCAATTGACGGATATTGGAAACGTCGCTATCGGCAAGAATACCCTTGTCGTGTCAACTGTCGAGCGTCAGCACGATGTGATGGCACGAGCGACACCAGAGGAATACGCGGCCATCCAAAAGATCCTCGCGAAGCCAGTCAGGATGGTTTGGGTCAGTGGCTCGGGACTGCATGAGGGTAGCGATCCCACCCGGGCAGTCTTCCACGGCCTGGCACGCGCCATCATGATCGAGCAGCCGGCCACAGAGATCTTCTACCTGGAAATGGATCCGCAGGCGAGCCCGGCTGATATCTCCTATTATGTGGCCCGGATCATCGCGCGACCAGAAGGCTGTCCGCCTGACTACGAGTACCTCCAAAGCCAATCTGGCCTGCTGGTGAGCCGTGGAGTTCCCGACGACCGCATCAACGATCACTTCCGCAACAAAGACCAGGGCATCGCCGTCCAAGAATCTCTCGGCAGCGCGGGACCGGTGTCCCTGTCCCTGGAAAAGCCTGGTCAGCTCAGTACCGTGCGATTCATCAAGACGCCTACGCGGGATCTGGGACCGGAAGACGTTCTGGTGAAGGTCAGTTGGGTTGGCCTGAATGCCAAAGATGTGTATGCGTTGAGTGGTCGAGTGGAGACACCCGAGGCCACTTGCAGCTTGGAATGTACAGGAAAGGTTCTGGCCATTGGATCCGCCGTTCATGGCCTCGCCGTCGGTGATCCTGTCGCGGTGGGATATCCGGGCCATTTCAGTTCTCATGAAGTGGTTCCCGCGCATGCATGCGTGAAACTCCTCCCCCACGAAGACCTCCGCAGCTTTGCGTCCGTTCTTCTGGTCTTCGGAACCGCCCTGTACGCCCTCGAGCATCGCGCCCATTTGCAACCTGGCGAGTCCGTCTTGATCCATTCGGCGACCGGAGGGGCTGGGATAGCCGCGATCCAGATTGCCAAGTTGATGGGTGCAGAGATCTTCGCCACAGTGGGGACCGAGGAAAAGAAGCAGTATCTAGTCGAACACTTTGGCCTGCAACCCGATCATATCCTGAACTCACGCACTGCTGGTTTTGCAGCTCAGATCCGCTCATTAACCGATGGCCGTGGCGTGGATGTAGTCTTAAACTCACTCATCGGTGACCTGCTCTTCGAGAGCTGGGAGTGTTTAGCGGACTTTGGACGGTTTGTGGAACTGGGCAAAAAGGATATTACGGATCATGGGCGACTGCCCATGGATCCTTTCAAGCGAAATGCCACCTTCACAGCCTTTGATTTGAGCTCACTGTACCTCGCTCGATCCCCCGCCATGCGACGCTGCACCCACGGACTCAACACGCGGATCATAGAGCTACTGCGCGAGGGCAAAATCCAGCCCGTCCAGCCGTTGAAGAGCTTCACCGCAGCAGAGTTGGTCCGCGCATTCCGCCATTTCAATGACCCAGCGCGGATGGGGAAGATTGTGATCTCGTTTGAGGATCCGGAGCTCATGATTCCAGTGGTGCCGGAGCGATTCGTCACACAACTCCACCCGGACAAGAGTTATGTGATGGTCGGATGCTTAGGAGGATTGGGCCGCAGTCTTTCGCAGTGGATGGTCAGTCGTGGTGCCAGAAGCTTCGTCTTTCTGGGGCGTAGCGGGACGAAGAAGCCTGCGGCACGACGTCTGGTGGAAGACCTGGAGCAGCAGGGCGCCCAATGTATTGTCATCCAGGGAGATGTGACCAATGCCGATGATGTCGAACGGGTATTTGAAGCCGCTCCATTCCCCGTGGGGGGTGTCATTCACGCTGCCATGGGACTCCACGAGGCGATCTTCTCGGAGATGACCCACGACTCCTGGCGTGAGGGAACCGCGGCCAAGATCGAGGGTGCTTGGAACCTGCACAATGCTCTCACCAAGTCAGACCGAGAATGTCAGTTAGACTTCTTCATCATGACCAGTTCGATCAACGGAAAGATCGGAACCGCCACCGAAAGCAACTACTGCGCCGCGAACAATTTCTTGGACGTCTTTGCCCGTTACCGTCGCACGCTGGGTCGCCCGGCCATTGCACTGGGCCTGGGCGCCATCGCAGAGATCGGCTACCTGCATGAACACTCGCACATTGAAGAGTTACTCCTCCGCAAGGGAATTCGGTTCCTGACGGAGAGCGACGTGCTCCAGATCTTCGACCTCGCGCTCTCCAAGCCCCCGACCATCGCTCACCCCTCGGATCTCACCACGCAGTCCCTGCTATTCTCCGGAGTAGAGGTCACCACCCTGCAACGGTACCACGAACAGGGATTCAAAACCTTCTGGCATTCCCTGCATGACGTGCGATTCGCCGTCCTCATCAATACCTTGAAGCGCGCATCATCCGGAAACACCGCCGCCGGCGAAGGCGGCAGCAGCAGCACACATGAATCCGCGCTTCGCAGTGCCATCGCGCTCAAGGATGAAGCGCAGGTCATCGCCGCGGCGCAGGGAACCATTACACAGAAGCTGTCCGATATGGTCTTGATCCCGGTCGAGAAGATTAATGTCCAGGCGTCGTTGTCGGACTTTGCCATGGATAGTATGCTGGCGTCGGAGCTGCGACAGCATATCTTCAGCGTGACTAAGGTAGATATCTCTTTCCTTACGCTCATGGATCCGAAGACTAGTGTGTTTAGTTTGTGTACGACTATTGCTTCTGTCTTGCTGAGGGATCAGAATAATTAGTCACTAGGTAGCATATTCATCAATCTAGGCTCAATACATACACATTATATCGCACCACTCTACTAGCAGCACAACGGAGCCTAGCATCATAAGAAAATACGCTCAGTTTTACTCAAAATTGGTGCTACGAGGTCAAACGTTTCAAACGCTTTTGTATGGACATTTCAATGTTCTTTATTGAGGATATCAGCAATTCTCAAGCATCTATTCTAACGACACCCCCAACGACTCACAAAGAACCTCCATCCACTCAGACAAAAACCGCTTAATAAACCCCTCCTCATAGAAAGCATCATTCCAATTAAACGAAAACACCAACTCATCATCCCACGTCCAAACATGGATCAGCAGCAGACGAACGATCGACTCCAGAGCCAGCCACCAATCCTCTACCTCCACGGTAAATTCTTCCCCGTGATACTTGGTCGAAATATACTCATTGACAATGCCCAACGAACTCAAATCTGGGTGCGCGGGCGCTCGCAAAGGATCATCTGGCTGTTGGCTCAGGAGCTGGAGGGCCTTGTTCACGTATTCAGGGAGGAAATTGAACAGATTCCGCGGGTCATCCTTGCTCAGATCCCGGCCGTATGCCTTGCGAGTCTCTGCGGCGATGGATTCAAAGTCCTTGTTCACGGCTAGGTCGATACTCATGAATATTGCAGTGTGGTAAACGCTTGTCGCGGCGTCAGGGCCGTTGAGGGGCGCGGGGAGATATTTTCGGAGATCGAATGGGGTTATTGTCGTATAGTTCTTTCTCTCACCATCAGTAGTGGTAGTACTAGTTTTGCTGTGGTGCAGGTCCATCACATATGGAAGAGTAGCCACTATTAAAGCTGCATGTACCGCGGCGGTCACCGTCAGGCCTCGCGATTTGCATGACTTGATGATCTGGCGGGTGGTGCTAGCCGGTAAAGCTGACTTGAGACGCCGCGTGGTGGCTGGTAATGCATTGGGCAGTGTTTTGATGGAAATTGTTGGTTGGTTATGCAGCAGGACACTTATCTCTTCATCCGCTGCTTGGGATATAGCTGGTGTGATGATGGATGGTACGCCGGCTGCCTCGTCCAAAGCGGGTGCCAGGTTTCTCACCTCGGTGCCGTCGAGCTGGATAATATGGCCCCGGGGACCATTGGCTAGAATCTTGAGGAAGGTATCTTGCAGATACATCAAGCCATAGGCATCGATGCGCCAGTGGGGCGTACGAAAGAGGAGTTCGCGGGTGTCCGGAAGGCAGAACAGGAAGAATTGCGAAGATGGCGGTTCCTGGCTGTATATCTCATCGGCAGACACTCCATTTCGAATGATGAAGGTTTCTTGCACCCAGGTGTCGAGTGCTTCCGGGGAAGGAACCGTGTAGCATAGTCGAGAGCCATCTTCGTTGGCCCTCGCGGCAATCTGCGGATACCGCTGTCGGAGGGCCTTCCGTGCCTGTTGGAGATTCTGTACCTGGGGGAAAGACTTCAATTTGAGAGTACACGAAATGAGAAAGTGTTGCTTGTTGAGAGGAGCCCCGGCATCAGCCACGGCGCGATAAAAGTTCTCCATGGAATCAAAAGGCCGCTCATAGTGACCGGGGGAGATCTGTTGCCAGGGCATGTTGGATTAGGCTGAGAGGGTGACAAGAAGCTAAGAAGCTAAGAAGATTGGAAGTATGAAAGTATTCGATGTGTGATATACTAAGGAAGTTGTTCTGTTGGGGGCCATTTGATCACATCCTATGCATCTGGGCAATTCATACATCAGTTTGCCTGATACCTCTAGGGCATGGAAGATAACAGTAACATACGCCAGTGAAATACAAATACAAGTAACGGTGCTAGTTGGCTATCCAGTGGGGCTGTACGCGGTGTGTAAATCGGTCTACATAATAATCAATTGGTGTATTAGTCGGCATTAGTTGAAACATTCCTGCATTGCGCTAATTATGGGACGAGGGATTAGGGCGCCGGACGGTCCGTTAGCCACCAGTAATTCGCTTAGCAAAATTGATATAGGTATGGGCTTCGGACTTCCGCGCATTACACCGGTGGTATTAGTTAAAAGACTTGCGATTCTAAGGATTTCATTCCCTGCTTGGCTCCACATTACACTGGGGTTAACTGGAGTACAGTCCGTTCGCCAGCAGTTCTCCGCCCCATTCTTGTTTGCTCAATCGAGCTACAAACTTGAGAGATCATCGATGACATCCCTCGCATCTCCACTGCGATGAGTCCAAACTTAGCCCCCACGCTAAGTAATTTAGTGCGGTGAGGTGGTATTAATGTTCCTTTCAATCATCTTCTTCCAAGGTTGTTACGGTCGCGATTCACCCGCAGAGCTACCTACCTAGCTAGCTATATGAGGAGTCCAGCTCCCCTATTTCCACCCTCGACAAGTGCCCAATGCTAAGTGCTCAGTGCTAGAAGCAACCATCATCATGCCTTCCAAGGCTTTCACCTATTTCTACACCGCGTACGCCCTCGTCACCGTCCCGGCATGGCTAGCGGCTGTGGCGATTTACTACATCCCCAGATTCCTCCGGCCTAACCCGGCGTGGACATACAAAACCGCATTGACATGCAGTCTCTGGAATGTGGTGATGAATTATTGGACGACGGTTCAGAAACTCTGGCCCAAGCCACTGGAAGCCGGTCCGTTGGGGAATCGATTTATTGTGCTCCACCCCCAGAAGACCATTCTCACGAAGACCGACAAAGAAGGCGGCCAACAATCCAAAGAAGTCTATACAGGAATCACTCGCTCTGTACCAGGAGCTAACCCCCTACCCGTAGGAGCTGTCTGGTACCCAGAGGCCCCAGCAGAACCTCCCCGACAACTCATTATCCACTTCCACGGGAGTGCCTACGTGATGTTCGGGAGTCGTCCGGAAGAAACTGGCGATGTGGGAATCAACGAACTCAGCAAATGGTCCGGATGGCCCGCGCTGGCCATTCAATACCGCTTGTCGCGGGATAAGACGACGACATTCCCAGCGGCACTGCAGGATGGAATCACGGCGTACGTGTATGCCCTCGAGGTGCTGAAGATCCCAGCCTCGCAGATCGCCTTTGCAGGCGACTCGGCCGGCGGCAATCTCGTCCTGGCTCTGCTCCGCTACATCAACGAGGAGAAGAACCCAGCAGTACTTCCGTTACCTTGCTGTGCAATTCTGTCGTCTCCGTGGGTCGATCTGCGCGCGAATACCATTGACGAGATGCCCCGGAACCGCAATTACCACTCCGACTATATCAAACATAATTTCCTGGCCTGGGGCCGGGAGGCCTTTACTCCGGAAGGATGGGAGAGTAATCATCCCTGGATTACATTTCTTGGAAATGAGATGCAGCTGGGAATCCCGGTCTTGGTCAATACAGGGACATCAGAAGTGCTGTATGATAGAATCATGCAGTTTGCAGAGAATTTGAGGCAGAAGGGGAATGAGGTAGAAATACTTGAAAGTCCGAACGCGGCCCATATTCCTTATCAGCTTGGTAAGGATTGGGATTTGGAAGAAGTTCAGGCGGTTTGCTTAGCGACTATGACGAGATATCTTGAGAAATCTGGTCGTTAGTGGGCGCTGTATACATGACACATATACATATATGTATACTCTTCTCGAAGTGCTCGAGATAAACCCCATCGAATGATCGGAATTTTATATACACGAGTTGGCAACTTGTGCAACACTTTATGTCTCTAGTATATACGAATATTATTAACTTTGAAAACCATCGTGCAGTCGTCGAACTGTTCAAGTCTATGCTTTTGAAGTTCCAGAGCCTTGTTCGTCATCTCCGTAGTTTGCCACTAAGTCAGCCACGCTAAGCTCACCATTTTCAGCCTCTCGAAACAGGACAAAGAGAACTGATCATCACCGAAGACCTTCGATCTTGGACGTATCCACCGGATGAAGACTTACATACTCGGTGATGACTGGGTAGATGAGGTCTTAATATTGAAATTTGCGTAGGTACTGCGTAGTAGATAAATATATGGGTATAAGTGGCATATAATTCAGTTCAGGAGGCAAAGGTGAGTATCAAGTGAAGAAATGTAAACGAATTAAAGAAAATGCAGTACGGGCACTAAGTTTAATATATTTCTAAATAAAGCCCGGTGAGTAGATATATCAACTACTAATCTCCTAGTGTGTGGTTTTATGTACGGCTGAGCGGACGACACCTTGTTCACTGCTTCAGTTTACTGCTTAAGTGGAAGTTAGGATACTTGGTTAAGTTACTGGCTGTATTAGTTATATTAATTGCAATCAAAATGTCATAAGTCGAAGACTAAACCAACAGATAATTACAGTACCCTTTCTATCTCTGTAAGGACTAAGGAGGAAAAGGTAGTTGCTGTACAACAATGACAAATCATTAATATATTCACCATCAGATTAATTACTACATACAAAGATAGAGTAGAGTATGCACATACACACACACAAACTAGAAGCAGAAAGCATCACTACCCTTTCCACCCCATCCCATCTTCACCAACTACAGCAACTGGCATACACTTCCCTCCACTCCAGAGTAATTATAGATCCCCCCAGTATCCCTAGGTAACAGGACACTAATCATAATTCCTATTCACATTATTCCCCTACCAAGACAGAAAATTATACATGATACCTGCCACGCCAAACACCGCAAACAACAGAATAAATACAATAAACAAACTCCCACTATCAAATACACCTGTAATCAGATACAAGTAGTCCTTGAAGATACATAAATAATAGTCTTAAAAATAATACTACATAAAAAGACTAGAGAGGATCCAGCTGAAGATTATACACATTTATAATTCGTTATAAGAAATATATCCAGTATATTAAATAAATTATACTATATTGATTTCGGAGACAGATAAAAAATCTAGCTAGAGACCATTCCAACAAGCCGATGATTTATTCAACCGTTCCATCTGGTGGTGTGCATGATGTGGCCCCATGGCCCGTTTAAGTATGTCGCGAATGAAATGGCGAGCTGTCCCCAAGTTGATCCCCTGTTGGATAAGAAGTGAGCATGTGGGTTGTAGGAAAGAAGTTCCAGGTCCGAGAACCCATGAACCAGAATTGAAAACAGCCACAATTAAGGCAGCTTGCCGCTATCCGTAAGTGAACGTGGACGCAGTCGGTCCCAGGCTGACAAATTTCCCCACAGCACTAAGCAAGCCTGAGCTCTGACGAACAATCCATGCCTCAGGCTCTCAGTTTGCTCCTTGACAGCAAGTACGTTCGCGTCGTGCCCGGTTACCCGACTCTGACAAATGCTATGTACGTTTACGACAGGATATGAGATCCGAGGATACGAAACAAAATGGTATAACATTGGTCGCATCATCGTAGCCTCAGCGGTTTTGTGAAATCTGGGTTAGGCAATGTCATACGTGGGCCTTCATGCCCCTGAGGATGAACTGCCTCTTTCATATACATGGGAGAGTCAAAGGTCTCCTTCGACCTCGTTGCTTGTCCATAACCCCTGTTTTAATGCGCAATCTTCCAGCAAGATCGTACCCTTGATAGCTAGCGCGTCTTCCCAGAAATATTCAATCGAGCAGCTTAGATTGAACTGAGACGGATTCTCGAGTGGTATCTGCATTATCCCTATTCAAGAGTGTGTCTGTCCAGTTCAAATTCCAAAAGCACCGTAAAAAGAACTATTACAGCTTGGCGAATCAAGTTTGCCGTCTTCCTATCGGTACCGCCTTCGACAGACACGATGGCATGCTTTGAGAGTTACTAAGTCAACTGTTTGGAATATACAGAGATGATTTCCTGAATCTGTCAGCAACACCGTCGGATTCCTGGTGGCTTTCCTCGTTTACATTGAACCCGCAAGTAATTTTCCAATGTATTCCGTAAGAATTTTCTTTGCTCCTTCGACAGTTTGACTGATGGAAGAGTTGGAAGTAATTGAGCTTCCTTCACTTGGAAGTGACCGGCCGAAATTGCAAGATAGGGGAGCTCTTTACGAGTCTAAATAGTTCTCAATATATTGTCTCTTTATTTCATGATATTGGTCAACAAATGCAGCCAGTGAGTTTTTTTAAAAAGCGTTCCCCGGAGATCCACAAGGATCCTCAGAGTTCAGTATGGGCTTCCTAAGATCTATGATTTTTCTCTACTACCATGTGTTAACTATAATATCATATCAGCAACTTCCGTGTGAACTTTGGTTTACGACTACTTGCATGTACTATGTATTGGCTATCACGCCAGCTATGTCTATATATTATTCTGGTATTGTCCTGTGCTTGAGCCAAGACTTTAAATAACAGAGAATAATGCCTCTTATAATATTTATATATATAAGAGTTAATCTGATATCTCTCTGTACTGTAAGGATCAACCCCCCCAGGCTAGGATTGCTATAGTTAACCAACGCCGTGGTTTAATTTTCGAATCTCATCCTTATACTTAGAAATCTGATCTTCAGTATTACAGTACATATTTTGATAGGAATACATTGGCCATGCTGTTATACCCAGTAGTTATTCACAATTGAAAGTTAGAGATGTCTTGATTGGCCAGCGCAGTTCCCTGTTCCAAGGATCCCTTGACTCTTGGGATGACCAGAGTTCCTCCCATGAACTTCTGGGCTTTGTGTGGTCTGTCACCGGGGGAAACCCACCAAAGCATTTTCCTACTGGGGAAAGAGACCTGATGGTAGTGCTGGGCTTTAGGGGAGCGTGGCGGGCAAGAGTGGACTGCAAGTAGAGAAGCAGGCAAGGAGGTGATTATTAATTAGGGTGCAGTTTATCAAAGTTATTCACTCAGAACACTCAGTCTCCCGCTCACTCCGTGCTCAGTGATCACCTCAGGCTGCTCAGGGCGTGCTCAGAGCGTGCTCAGATATACTCAGTGAGCAAGAAGCAGCGAGGGGTGAGCACTAAAACGGAAAAAGTAGGCCATCAATCCTCCTAGAAAATCAAGTCTATATGTATTGACCAGACAATCCATCAACGTAGGAACGGAAGTATTCTCGGGTGCACCACCAAGTAACCCAGCCAGAGCAATGAGACCGCCAGCGCGAATGGCTTTAACTGACTGCGACAGAGTCGATAAGCCACCCACATCAACAACAATGTTTACTCCCTGGCTATTCGGAGTGAGACTTTTAGCGGTTTCTCCCCATCTAGAATCCTAGCGATAATTCAGGACATGGGCGCCGAGGGATTTGAGTCGCTGGGCTTTGACGGTGGAACTTGTTGTTGCAATGATCGTAGCCCCTGCAGCCAGGGCAAACTGTCAATTTTATGTTCATTGAAAATGTTGGTTTCAAGTGATAGATCCTGGAGCAAGGCTAGACTCACCTGCAATGCTGCAATCGAAGCACCTCCAGTCCCCTGAACAAGAACCCAATCTCCCTTCTTAGGCTTCAATCCCTCAACTCCAAAAAGAGCGTTCCAGGCAGTCAACCCCGAACAATTCAACGTGCTCGCCTGTAGAACCTCCAAGTTCGCAGGCATATGAACAAGTGACGATTCGTGAAAAACTGCATATGAACTAAGTGTGCCATTGTAATTATGACCCAGTCCGAATTCGCAGACATCATTCCAAGACGCCGCCTTACCAGACGGCAGGCCAGATGTGAGATGCGTACAGACCCGATCACGAGCATGGTTACAGCTGTGGTTTATGTTAATACCAGAAAATCCAGCAGACCACAACATAACGCCACCTAACTGAGGGTGACTAGCAAATTCGCGGAGTAAGGCTGCAAGCGCCCTCAACTGAAGGTAATACTGAGCTCCGTCGTATGTTCCCGTGGCTGCGTAAGGAGAGGCTGGTAAACCGCTCAATATTCTGGCATTGGGAGATTCAGTTCCAGCGATGTTGGTCACTGAGGACCCAAATGCATCATTAACTGAGCAGCTAGAATTGTTGTAAAACTCCACCCATGGATAATCGAATTGACTACTTACGATAATTTGCTGCGTATTTGGTTAAGATAGGTATTGTGGTGCTCCGGTGATATCGCATTCATTTGAATAGATCGGAGTTGAAGTTATATCGCAAATTATTAATGAGATATTGGTAATATTCGATACCGCCAGATGTCTCGATATCAAAGTCCCAGCCATTGACGAAAGTTGTTCCAAAAGGTCGATGTACAACATCACTTTTCGTTTTCCATATGTCCCAGAGGTGTTGGCCAATCGTTTTAGCCTCCCGCTGTGACGAGAGAGAATATGCTCCTGTTGCACCACCAAGCGAGAGAAGAGAAGTACTGTGACTCCATTCGTTTGGCATTTCTTGATTGCAGCACCCAGATCCTCGCACTGAAAAGGCTCGCTGCTCGGTGGTATCGAGCACGACGGACCAATTATCCCCGATGGAAACGTATTCCCATTGCCATAATCATAGAGAAATGCTAACGCTATGAGGCCAATGCCAGCTTCTGGTACACAGTACGTAGGTAGATCATTGTCTTCAAAAGCGTTTCGACAATAATTTCATAGTAAATTACGTTTAGAAAATGAGATGAACGAACCTTACCATCGCCCTCGATCGGCACTGCCGATACAATGGTACCAAGAAGCAAGCCTGTAAATAAAATGAGAGAATGCATCATGCCACCCATTCTTGTAGGAAGCTTGAGTAAGGCTTCGATTAATATTGTCGAGGTCGTATATTGCACGCCAAAGAAAATTACGCTTTAAGAAAATTCGACGAAATTAGAACTCCCTTGATCTGGAATTGAGCTGCTTCAAGATCTTACTGACCTACAGGACTTCTGAAAGCGACTGTCTATTATCCGCGGTCCTGAAGACAAGATCACCACGCGGTAAAACAATCATTTTGTAATAAATTATTAAGAATTCTCAATCTCTCATTTATATACAAGTCACACTGGTATTAAGAACCATGCAAGGTCGTGAATATATAGTCCTAATCTAGCATCCTCGCCATTGAAACCAATAAGAACTGCTGAAAGTATTCATAAATACTAAGAGTGCATTTAGCATGGCTCCTAGGTGCATCTAGAGATGGAGCACCTGCCTCCCAACTATGTCATTTAGCCAGATGCTAGAGCTCTAAGGCACCATGCTTAGTATTACGTGCAGCCTTTATAAGCTTGTCTTCCGAAGCAGGATCCCTTCAGCGGGATCCTCCCAGAGGCCGTCGCACCTACTTGTATCAAGCTTACTTTGACCATGACTTCTTATCAATACATAAAAATAATTCACAATGGTAGTGCATTTACCGATTCATAATTTGGCCATGGCTACACGACCTTTATAATTCCGGTATACGCCGTTATTACATACCTCATTATCACGTATTATTGCGAGCCCTGATAACTAAGGGGAATGATGTGCGCTGGCAGATGCTGTTATAAAATCATCAGTGTGGTGTGTCTTATGTTATAAGTTAGGTTATAGAAGGTGCTCGTTAAGCTCAGCTGTGATCGGTATTTGAATCTAGGCCGACGTCAGTTCCCAAGTCGGGAAACCCATCTTCAGTTCCCCGGTCTGTGTTATATGAATAGGGTAATTTGTGAATATTCTGCTTTCTAAAAAGATGCAATATAGACTGAAGAATCAAGTTCGTTTCGAAATACAGTCCGTAGGCTATGTAGTAGAACCTCATAGTATTTGGAAATAACCCCTAAATATGTTGAATTATCACTAAAAGGTGCACCGAACTCTGTCCTAGAGATCTGCCACGGGCTGTCTTGAAACAACCAAAGTAGAAGCCTTCCTTATCTGGTACGAGGCAGGTTTAGCCATTTATCCGCATCTCTTTACTATCTTCTTTCTCCGGCTAGATCACAATGTCTCCTGTAGAGTGGACGTAGATGAGCTTAGCGTGACGCGGTATAAGGTAAACTCTCTTAAGAGAAATTACTGATGCCTGGTGATTATTACGCAGTATATTGAGAAGCAGTGGTGTCTGACATATGCCCTATATCAGTATTTGATGCCGTACCAGCTGCATCACTCGGCATTCCGCTGTTTGCTGAGGGTGAGGTGGAGTATCCTCTTTGTTGTAGTACATACCTGCAGCCCCTATATGCCAGCAGTACCCTAGATTTTACCAAATCCTGCTGAAGCGCCCTTCGCCGCCTCCAACGCCTCCCCAAGACTAGGAAGCCTTACGTCTGCCTCCACACCTAAATGGAATTAGGGATTTGCAAACAGAAATCCGAAGAGTTGCGTACCTTGTGGCGCGGGCATTGCCGCAACAAGCCCAACAACTGCCATCAAGGTGGTAAATGCTACCAGAAAAGATTTCATCTTGCCAGAGATAGAGGTGTCCTTGTGAAGATGTTGAAGGGAGTATTAGAATTGTGTTCTAGTAGCTGTAGAGGGCTGTAATGGAGGAGAGCTGAGTCTGTCTTTATAGTCAGTGTATATCCAGAAACAGAATTGAACAAGTGATCATAAGACATACTTTTCAGGCAGAATCACTATTACTTTCAATAGTTCTTATTGTAAAAAGAAGCAATGATATGACAAGTTTGAGGACCACAGACCCAGGTATTCTGAGAACCCAAAGTTATATAACAATTATTGCCTCGGGTTCAATAGTGTGTGTGACATTAGAAGTGCATCTGACCTATGATTACGTAATATACTCTGATTATGAATGGCACAGTCACATTTAAAAAGGGCTTCACAACATGGGTAGCTATAGCTAAGTATCACCTAGTCATGCAATAGAATTAGATGTCTACTATTCGAAGAGACGCTTTTGGCATCACACGTCATTGACCTCAGGCTAATATATCGCAATTCGCGGCTCGCCCAAACTCATCGTCCGCAAAAACCGTAGCTCTACTGTTACAGTGGCATGAAATACCAGCGAGCCTTGTGGTCTGTAACTTTTGGCTCTTTTGATCCAGTTCTTCTATAATAATTTCATCTATCTCTAGCATGTTTAATGTATCATGAGACTCCGTCTTGTGGTTTGTTAAAGTATCTAGCACAATCAGCCTGACTATTCCACCCGCTTACAAACTCATTTCCAGCACATAGTTATACACATGTATTAGTATGCATATTATAAGACCTTATTCGCGTATCTACTAGACCTGCTGGTAGTCAGGTGTTCTACAGGTTGAGTGAACACAGGTGATGCTCCACACATCACACATGCAACAGTCACATTCACATCACAAGTGGGGTTAGTGGCAGCGTCATTGAGTTGTGATGTGATGAGATATGTCTACCTCTGTAGCCCAATGTCAAATGTTCTTGCTGGTCAAGGCCATACCCAAATGTCATATCGCTCAGTCTGCTCCACTATCTGCTGACAGATGCCGTCGCGACCAGAGCACTCACGCTCAAATACATGACAAAGAGGTAGAACTATGTCCAGAAGAATTCCCGATTCGGACAATGTCTAGTCTGTCGTAATCTGGCGAGGTTGCACTATTCATATATGATCCCGTCAAGGGGCAAGTGCGGCTTCGCGACCGTGAACGGACAGCAGGAACACAATAATGTGTCATTCATGGGAGGTGGGCTTGATATTAATGAATCACCACAAATTTATTTCATGCGCCAATGATTGCGCATGAATTCTGGCAAGTCGGCGTCCGTTTTATCAAGTTCTCTCATAATTATTTTCCAGAAGAATGTAGTTATATCATGATGTGGAAATTCTCGAGTAATAATCATATTAGTATGATAATAAGTCCATGACACCCAAAAGACAGCTACAACGGTATTGAAGCTTCTGGTTGAAGTTTGGTATACTACAGGAAGTTATATGTAATTGCATCTGATTGAGTATCCGATTATTCATGTATACTGTAACCTGTTAGTTTTGCTCTTTTATCACCCATATCAGCTGGGGTTGGCACCAGAAATCAGAAATACCGAATGATAGGCATGTGTCTCACACTTCTGTTCCTTGCAGATTATCAAGAGCTATACGCCCAATTCCATTATCATTAGAAAAGAGGGGAAGCAAATAGTATCAATTATATCCTGAGACATTGAGTCCCAGTAAACCACACGGCGACATTCCTGTTCAACACTCGCCTGCCCCTTGCCTGCACATGTTTATCATGTCTCAATAAGCGGTGTATATCCCCGCCAATACCCATAACGGTTCTTGTACCGGAGCAAAATGAAACTCAATTCCCTAGTCTTTCTCATATGTTACTTGTGTGTTGTCTCGCTTATTGCTGTTTCTCTTCTTCTCATTATGGCCCCAGGCAGCCAGAACTCGCGATCGAAAGAGAAATCCGAAAAGGCCGATAAATCTGACAAAGCCGATAAACCCATATTGAGTGCTGTCAAAGACCTCAAGGCGTCAGCTACAGCTGTACTTCAGCACCTTGAATACTTCGAAACGGTTGAGAACTTGCAGAGGCAGGTCAAAGAACTCAACCAGCAATTGAAGGAAGCCAATGCAAAGGTTGAAAAGGCCCAGGAAGAGCAAAAGCAAAATGATATAACAAAGGAAGAATTGACAAAGTCGTTCGAGCAGCGCTTTTTGAAATGGAAGGAGAGAGAGCATAAATTGGAAGCTCAACTAAAAGAAGAATGCGCTAAGGCTGAATTGAGTTCGCAGAAGAAAGATCGGGAATTGAAGGAACAGTTGGCAAAGTACGAGAGAAAGTTACGCAAATTAGAAGAGGATCTTGAGTGCGAAAGGGATAAGAATACCGACCTAAATTCCCGTTTACGACAATCCAAGAAGGCACTAGAGGGCCTTCGTGGAGATTTCCACATCGTACCTCTGGAACAAGACTTGTGAGAGATACTAGATGCAAAGTTGAAATTAAATTGCTCACTCGCCGGCAGTTTCTCCAAAAGTTTCAAAAATCTCGAAGACAAGCTCTTTGACCTGACTGAACGGTTCTTCAAGGGCCCTTTGCAACCCTTCGATCAGGTGAGCCGAAGAGCTAGCATAAATTACTGGGGGAAGAGATGTTTCTCTCACACAGAGACAGGGACAGCACCATTTTCCTCGCACTTCCCAACCGATGTTGTTCTCTTACGCCGAGTATCATAATGTTCCATGTGCACGTATTGCCCAGTCACTCATTGCGGATCGACTTGCTAGGGATGTCTTCAAGCCTATGTATATTGCATCACCGAAAAGGCTCGAGAGCATGGGTGATGCGCTTCAGAGATCCAAGAACGAACCTCGCCAGAAGGCAATACTTCGCTCACTTCTCTTCAAAACCTTTCGCGAAGAAGAGGATGAACAACAAAGGGACATTATAAAATCAGCTACGTCAGAGCTCCTCCACGAGCTAGAAGCGATGTTGAGCTCCGAGGGTAATAGTGTGTTCGAGGAAGAGTTGATTACCTATCTGGAAACAGCTGCCGACATATGGAACCAGCTAAAGACAGGATCAGATTGGGTTTTGGCGTCTTCCATTTGGCACCACAACTTCCCGGCGTGGAATAAGACTAGGGGGCCATCGAGTAGTACTGCGGTGGGACAACAACGACTACTACCAGGAGCTCCATGGATTGTCATGTTTCCACAAATGTATGTTGATGGAAATGATTCCCTGTTCTATCCGGGGTCCTTGTGGTCTTTTGATCCGGCGCCGGTTGAAGAGAAGCGGAATGTGCAATCTCCCCGAGCTCGGCGAGTATCGGCGTCTCGAAGCTCCAAAAGCCCAACTGTAGCGGAAGCCAGCTCTGATCCGGGGGCCACAGCGTATCGAAGTCTTGCATCGAGGGATAAGGTCTCTGAAACGGGTCGTAAAGTATCTTCTGATTCCGAGGGCCAGCGAAGATGTAAATCTACTTGCTGAGCAAAGTCACTCTATTGATACCAGTCGGGAAGCAATGAATAGAATTATCAATTGGCAAGAGCCAGCGATAGAGACCGTTTTTCAAGGATGTGAAAGTCATACTCTTCTTTTCTTACATAAATCTCGCTAGGGTTGATCTTTTACTAGTTCGTCGGATCAAATCGGTCAACCTTCTCTAATTCGATCATCTATCATTTGCCGTTTTCATAATGTCTATGTAAAGCCATCATCTCGCCCTTTCAACCCATCAATTCTGCGAACGAACATTCATGTTCTTTCACAGGCTTGCCGAACGCACAGTGTTGATACCACCGGTCACGACCATCTTGATGTTGATATAATCGTCAATGCCGTACTTGCTGCCCTCACGGCCCATACCGGAGTGCTTAACGCCACCGAACCTTCTACAAGTCAGCGGAAACATCATCAAGGTCAGGATGGGAATAACTTACGGAGCAGCCCAATCAGAAATAACACCCGTGTTAATAGCCACCATACCAAACTCCAATTGCTCAGACACACGGTGTGCCTTACCCAGGTCACTCGTAATCAAATAAGATGCCAGACCAACATCGCAGTTATTCGCGCGGCGAACAACTTCGTCCTCTGTTGAGAACTTAGCGAGCGCTGCAACAGGTCCAAAAGTCTCCTCCGTGGCCACATTCATAGTGTCATTAACATTTCCGAGAATGGTGAGTTCGTGGAAATTCTTGCCGACAGAAGATAACGTGTTGCCACCGAGGAGTACGTTTGCACCCTTGCTAACTGCGTCCTTAATGTGCTCTTGGGTCTTGGTCACACCATTGGTTAAGGGGCCGTGTGTTACGGTGGCATCTTGGCCGTTACCAACTTGGCACTTCTTCACTTCTTCGACGAGTCGCTGACTGAAACGATCGTAGATACCCTCCTGGACAAAGAAACGGTTCGCACACACGCAGGTTTGGCCAGTGACCTTGAACTTGCTGATCATTGCGCTCGTAACAGCAGTCTCGATATCGGCGTCATCAAAGACAATGAAGGGAGCATTTCCACCAAGTTCAAGACTGAGCTTCTTGAGGGTGCTGCTAGATTGTTGCATAAGAAGCTTTCCGACGCGCGTTGATCCAGTGAAGGAGATCTTCTTAACAATATCCGACTGGCAGAGTGTCAGGCCCAAAGTGGGAGTGTTCTCTAGAGCTGTGACAACGTTAAAAACACCTTTGGGAACGCCCGCGCGCTCAGCCAGCACAGCCAAGACATTGGACGAAAAAGGTGTCAGGCCATCCGACTTCAATACGACTGTGCATCCTGCAGCCAGCGCAGCAGCAATCTTGCGTGCTCCCATAGCCATAGGGAAGTTCCATGGAGTAATCAAGCCACATACACCGACTGGCTCCTTAAGGACCTGTGTACGACTCGATGGGTTGCTGTGGGGAATGACATCGCCATAGATACGGGGGGCTTCTTCGGAGAACCATTCGAAGAACCCAGCAGAGAAAAGTGCTTCTCCTTCGGCATCACCCTTCGCCTTGC